TAATTATCCAACATTTGTCAATTAATTAATTAGTAAATTTCATTCTTCTAGTTCTCTTTTGTGTGTGACTCATTAGGTTATCGATCACGATACCTAACGACGTGAATTATTATTTTGATCTAATCAAAATTGATAAATTAAAATACTCCTTTTAATTTATCATCAATTCACATCCGTCATCCCAAATGACGTCTAGTAATGTGTCGGGCATTACATGTGACGAGAAATGTCACGTGATATGACAAAACCAAATTTATTCGTTTACTGTGAAACTATAATCATTTCGTCAATATGATCCGATCAATTATGAGATATGGATATGTGTCAATCTCAATTATCGATCATATCTTTTATCCCACTGTTAAGTCAATGTACGTCGAAAACTCTTTTCCGACTTATGAGTTCACCTTGGCCAAGGATTTCCNATCATATCTTTTATCCCACCGTTAAGTCAATGTAAGTCGAAAACTCATTTTTGACTTATGAGTTCACATTGGCCAATGATTTCATTATCAACTTAACTGGATAAAATGTATATCATAATCTCTTACTATCTAAGAGTGAAGAATCCTCTATTAATCATTCACAACATTCATATGATTTTTGACATATCCGAACGATGTTGTATTAGCGACCCTGGCATAGCAACATCCAAAATCACCAAATTATGACTGTCCTCATATAAGGCACTATGATGACCTCAAGTTAAAGGATCAATTCCACTAACGAATATTAGAGATTAATCACTGACATTCAGATAGTTATCTATATAGAATCTCTCAATGGGCCTCTAATGTTTTGTTTTAAAACAAAACATCCACATATTCATTCAAATGTCACCACAATTTACATTTTGAGATTAGTTACTTACTTCACAAGTAAAAAATGTCACACGTGATGGTCTATCCGTAATAACGATATCCGTATCTCGTTATTACATACGACCACAGACGATTTAAGATTCAATCATATGTAATTTGTATCTCACAATCACAACTTCTTGTAATTAACAAATCACTAAGATTTGAATATATGAATTCTATTATTTAATTTATTAGAATATTAATTTAATTAAATAATAGATATTGTCATAAAT